ACTTGTCAGCTCTCTCTCTCTCTCTCTCTCTCTCTCTCTCTCTCTCTCTCACGTTGCTAATGAAGAATTAAAAGTTTCAGTAGAATTTCTCCGTTCATCACTCTTATATGCGTAATTCTATTTCATACTGCTTTAATCAGAATATACGATTAAGTTGATGCGCAACTTTTACACTTTTATACATTTAAATTTTTTGTCTTTTTATTGAGCTTTCGCGGAGCAGCCGAAGCTCGTAAATCTTCTCTTTAATATGCAATAAATTCTGAATTCGCGTGATGTAATCAGAAGGAATCAATCAGAACTTAAACACAGTTATGATTACATAAATGTATAGATATATATAAGAAGAAATACTTTCTCAACACAGAAGAGATCTTTTCAATTTTTCTCAAATTTCACATGCGTGCTATTTTCAGTTGTCACTCGAACGAACGTCTGTTTCTGCGCGATTTTGTCTCCTGCTCGGCTGGCACAAGTGGTGGCAGACTCGCGCGATGGCTACAACCAGACAGCTTCGTCGATCCCTCTCAATGCGAGGCATTATATTCGCGCGAAGAAATGAGATGTGGATGGCCGGCTATCGTCACCGTGCTCACGAGAGATCAATACGGCGAAGTCGTGCATGTGCCTGGATTGAAGGTAATTCTTGTCCTTGGATGCCGCGACACGTTGCATGACATCGGTGAATCGCATGTCGAGATGTAAATCATCTTTGCAGATCGAAGTCAAGGCGGTGCCGATCGATAAAACCGACATTACGGAGTCCGACCAGAGTAGAAAGATTCGTCGTGTCTCTCAACCGGATCCCATGACATTTGGTGGTCATCCGCAACCATCGTTGGACGTTCCTTACGAGGTGACCATCAACAACAAGATGTGCTTCTACGCTATTACCATCATGAAAGCCTATCAGAATTACTCGTTTGAGGAATTGAGGTTTATGTCACCTGCTGTAAAGAGATCGAGCGAGAGTATGTTGGTGAGACCTAACGGCGACGGAAGCTACAGCGCTACATGGACACCATCCTCCGTCGGCTGGTACTCGCTGATGATCACAGTGGATGGTTACAATATGGAGGATGTACGTAAATTATTTATCTCACAAAAATCTTGAGACATTCGGGACTAAACTGAATTTAATTCTAACTCCTGCTTCTGTAATTGGAAATAAGGTTTAAATTAAAATAAGCTCTAAGTAGGCTAATTCAATTTCGCTTTATTTAGAACTACAAAGTTGAGGTAAAGGAACCTCCGCAAGGCATGCAACCACCTACTCAGAATATTGTTAAGAAGCCTCAGCTTCAGCCGAGCAGACTCAGAAAATTTGTGGCAAAGAATAGTGCTGGTTTAAGAATACGAGCTCATCCATCCCTGCAAAGCGAACAGATTGGATTCGTGTCAGTTAATGGCACTATAGCTTTCGTTGATGAGGTAATATCATTACTAAACTTTGTATAATTGTACTCGCTCCATTTTGATATTGAATTTACTTCACATTTGAGTTTATTTTAAAGCTTATAAAGCTTAAAATCGAACGAATGTGAAAATAATATATATATTTCTGTTAAAAATTCAAAAATATCGGGAGAGCAAAATTACAAAAAATCGTATTCTTATTTCATACAATTTTAAAATTATTTTTTTGTACATTTTAAAGATGAATAAGATTTTTAGATGATATTAAATTCTCTTTATTTTTGCTTGACCAGATTCATAATGATGATGGAGTTTGGCTACGATTAAATGCGGAAACAATCAAGGAATATTGTAACAGTAGTCATCTTGAGGCCTGGTGCTTGCAATATAATCAGCATTTAGGAAAAACTTTGCTTCTGCCTGTAGAAGAACCAAAATCCATTTTGGATCAAGTTATTAAGGAAACCATTCTGCGGAAACGTTCTGACGCTAGTAGCGATGAGTACGTAAGAAATATCTCGTCTGTCATCCGCTTTAGGCTAAGTCTTAATTTAATACTTGCAGCAAAAGAAAGACGGTGACTTTCGACGCCGGGAAAAGCATGGTAGTTGTGAAATGCGGGGCTTCCGGACACAATATTAGAAGTAAACCGAGTTTGAAAGGCCTGCCGATCGGAATGTTAGCGCTTGGAAATACAGTGACTGTTCAAGAATATGTAAGCTGATTTATTACTATCAAATATTATTAAATCTCCGTTTTTATTTGGCATCTCATCATTTACAGTGTATGAATAACGAGGGAACTTGGGTACGCATCGATGATGATTCAGTGGCAAAATATTGCTTCGATAAAGGTCGAAGCGTAGAGGCATGGTCGTTGGCGATTAGCAAGCAAACCAACGTGATTTATATGAAGCTCGAACAAGATTTAGAAAATGATCCGATCGAGAAAAAACCGATGATACCGGATCCAATCGTTTCACCGGGCAATAAAGGTTTTGATTTTTCCGTACCTTCCGTTAGTCATGAAGGCTTCAATTTTACTACGCAAAATTATACACCAGATACAGCAGAATCTGCTGATAGTTGCAATACAAACCCATTTGTTTTTGGCTCATACAATCAGCATGATTCACCAGGTATATCATAGTGAAAATAAATCTAAATAACTTATTGTTTCTATTTGCTAAATATATATGTCTTTCAGGAAGTGAACGTTTTACACCAGAAAAAGCTGATGGTACAAAATTCTCGAAGCCTCATTCCAAAGAAAGAGTAGCCAAAGAACGCGAACGAGAAGGCGGTGGAGGAAAATTTAGCGTTCTTCAAAAATGGCTAAGAGGAGATGACAAATGTCATGGAGAAAAAAGAAGTTCCCCTGGCAGGTATTTTCCGCACATAATAATTATCTCCTTTAATAAATTTTTATATTTTAATAAATTATATCTTATATTTTAATAAAATATGATTTTTTTTCTTAGAAAATTTAGAAAATTTTCAATCTTTTTTTTTAATTTCTTTTAAATTTTGTTTCGAATTTTGAGAATATCAATTTTTTCGTAAATAGAAGTCACTTTATATGTATGATTTTGCTTCTTTTTATTATGGATTCAAAATCTTAAAATTTTGTAATTTAAATTTCAAATTTTCTATTAATATGCAAGTATCTATCTCAGCGTGTATTATTAATGATTTTCAGAGATTTTTCTGAATTTGTGGGCGTATCTGTGAAGGAGTTGGTAAAAGCGATGGGGGAAAGTCGTGCAAATGGCAACGGAGCGACACCGCCAGAAACCCCGCGACGAATGTCAAGAAGTTCTTCACCGAAGAATCTCCAAGGTGGGTCACCAAGATTTCACAGCCCCTCTTCCAGTCCAGTTCCAATACCTGGTACGTATATGTTATTTGTTAAATATACGAGATCATCTCTCTATTGAACTGATTTATTTCATAACTCATTTCTAATCTATTTCATTCTACATCCGTGTATGTATTCTTGTGTAATTTGGCACTACAATTGCTTTGAAAATGAAATCATTTCAGAAGCTGTGAGAACGGACGCTGATACTTGTAAGGCAATATTTTATGTATTCATGTTCCCCTTTTCTATATCACGTATTAGAATACAGAAAAAAGATATTTGGTATAGTAATTCTATAATAAAATACATGATAGATGATAGAAAAATTTTAGAAAATTATATATTAACTATTAATAACTATATATATATTCTATTTGGATTAGTTATAACAAATTAGTCATGTTGATCTTAGCTGGGTCCAGTCGACAGCCAGCCATGTCTGGCAATTGCCTCTTCCCTCCTGCTGCTAACGCACCAGGTACTCGCTCCTATCCTATTAAATTACTGGAGTTGTAAAATATCGAATAGTGCACAAAGTATCTGTATCTTCGAAGATCTATTGTAATTATCACCATTTACTTTACATATAGGATTGATGGCACGATAGAATCCACTTCGTATTGATCAGTGAATATTACAATATCATATTATGCATGCAAGATAATGTAGTTACAATCACACTGCACACGACATTGTTTCATTCTTTATATACGCAATCTTTATATACGCACGATTGATTACATCGTATGCACAAAGTAAATTTTTTATTACGCAATCCGGAAATCGAGAATTTGTAAAGCTTCGCAACTAAGACATACTTGACACAACATACAAATATATTACAATTAATCAAAATTATTAGGTGGGAGAAGCGCGATAGGAGGGGGAGAGAGTATGAGTAGCAGCCCTGTACTCTGCGGCTCCCCCCGAAGTGTCGGCCTCTCCCCGTTAGGTAAGATCACTAATACACTAATACACCTTATTTTAATTTATATCAAGATTTATATAAATAATCTATCAGTCGTAAAATTCCGTACTGCTATAATTTTATTTTTACACTATAATATATATCAAGATACATACTACATGCTTTTTAAAGAAACTTTAACACGATCGCACGAAGTAATTTGCATGATTTAAATTTTTTGAATGAATTGTATCATCGAATGTTGTAAATGTCTTGCTCTGTCATTGTCCGTTTGCCACTAAGGTGAGAAAGCGATGCCCGTATATCTGAATTAAAATTCGAATATATCTTCGGAAGATCATGCAGCTTTGATCATTAATGTATTATTATTTTTTTTTTTTGAAGTATCAGGAGGGATGGTCGACAGCATAACGTCGCAACGTCGCGGCTCAACGCAGAGTGACACAAGTGCCTTGGTTAGCAGCTTGACGAGAGATCCATCACAGTCACCGAGCGGTATTAGCACTACTGCCAATACGCGTGATCTATCACCGAGTCCAAGTTGCAGTTCTTTACACATGAGATCTGAGGGCAGCATAGCTAGTCCACCCGATACTCCCAAGAAGGAATGCGCCGTAAGTAATGTAGCGTAAAAGTCTTCTTTCCGCTTGAATGCTTATTTTCCTCGATGGCAACATGCAGGAAAGACTTTTACTGACTATGACATCGCTTAGAATTATGCAAAGGACCAAGAGATATATTGTTTTTTAAAGGATACGCAAGAAAGTCCGCGCAAAGTGTCTCAAGCGCAAACGCAGACAAGCCCCGAAAGCGCTACCACAGCTATGAAAGGTCACTTTAGCATCGGTTCATCCGGAATGAAAGATGAGCGACACTCGCCAAAAATGAACAGAAGAGATCATATAAAAGCCGTGAAAACGAGAGCGAAACGCGCCATGTCACCTGCCAACGCGCAACAGAGTCCCAGTCCTAATCGTGCTCTAAATTTATGTAAAGAAAAGGTGAAGGAAGCGATCAGTCCTTCTGTGGCAGAATGTCTGAGAGCTGTTTTTGCCGCGTTCTTGTGGCATGAGGGAATTGTACATGATGCTATGGCTTGCGCCAGTTTTCTTAAGTTCCACCCTAGTTTACCCAAGCAGGGTGCGCTGGTTGTAACCAGACAAACCGTGCAATCCAGTGACAAGCAACAACAGGAGCAAAAGGCACGTCAAAGACACTCGGTCGAGGTGACGAATGCCGGTAATTATTTGCACATTCAGCCCAGCACGTTAGAGACTCTCACGCGTTCAGCCGCGAATGCTAATGCCAATAGGAGTAGGAAAAAGCAGGAGAATACGATCAAAGAAGAAATTCAGGCAACTGCGGGTAAGCTTAGTTCCTTGCCTGAATTTCATACGGTGGCGGTGTTACCGCCTGCGTTAAAAAGTTTAGTTTTTTATGGGAAGAACTCAGCACTAATTGTCTGCAAGCCATTGAACAACAATCGATATTGCCTAGTCCTATATCACAGATACAAACGATGAAGCTGACAAAACGACCGATACCGGAAAAACGTCCTAGAGAGGACAAAGTGAAAGAACGCGAGAAAAAAGGTAACCGGAAGAAGAAGGAATGGAAACCAATCGGAAGAGCAAATACATCAGAGGTTTTAGCTGGAATTGAACGCGAAACTATCTGTGAACTTTGCGGCCTGATGTTCCCACATCCAGTAACTTATCATATGAAAATGATGCATCCAGGCTGTGGTTGGCATGCAGGCGGAAAAGGATACAATAGTGGCGGAAACTATTGTGTGGGGTGGGCAGGCAATTGTGGCGATGGCGGTGTCGGCGGTAGCTCGTGGTATTTAATCTGTGACACATGTAGAGATAAATATTTGAAGGCCAGAAAGAACAAATTTGCGAAGAAATTTGTGAGCGGGATTTCCAAAAGAAAAAATGGCACGAACAAGGTTCTATCTCCGATTAACAGCCCCGGCGGAAACGAAACTCATATCATTATGAAAAACAACGCGATGTTTCTACTAGATCTGGCTAGCGCTTCTGGTTTTAATATTCCCAAACAACAAAGACGACCCTCACAGACTTTATCGTCCGTAGCTGAAAATTATAGCCCTCCCGAAGCTACCGGACCATTTCCACCAACTGGACCATTCCAATGTTTGCAAGCTTTAGGTATTCATCATTCACAGAGTCACGATGAAAGGTATTACGAAGAAACTTTGAGACGTGAAAATGGACAACAAAATAATTATGAGGGAAACAGTGGCACATTTAACAATACGAATGGCAGAGTAAGGAAATATTATCCTAATTTTTTAATTTTTAATATTTAACATTTACCTTTATAAATGTTAATTAATGTTGTTTCATTTATAGCCATTGTCAGAATATCCAATGAGTGATAGCGATAATGAAAGCGGCAAAAATCGTAGTACGTTTCATAGATCGGTATCTATGTCTACCGGTGCACCTTGGGCCAGAAATAGTAATGACGGCAGAGTCGTTATGATGAGGAAACGAAATAACAGCAGTAGCGAAATGAATAACGGTATAATTTTATTTTAAACAATAACTGTAAAGGAACGCTAGATGCGAAAATAAGTTTTTTTCGTAACTAAATATTAGTGTTTTTGATGTTTTTCAGAGGCGGGTTCTTCGCTTTTATGTTATCCATCTGCTGCATTGCAGAAATTAGTGCCATCGATGGATCAATCTGCTATAGTATCCACTAGTCAAACTGAAGTAGCAAGTAACGATCGAATAGAGATTCTTATGAGACCTGTAATGTTGTTCGTTCTTCAACAACACAACTTGCAACATCTTCAGCTTGCGATGAAGCAAGCATTACGTCGCGCCGCTTGTCGAGTTTACGCGATGCAGGCGTTAAATTGGCTTTTGAGAAGCGTAACGCAACCAATTTGTTTGCATGACTTACTTTGGTGGTTTGTCTCTTCTCTTACACCGGTAGTTCCTTCGGATAATATGGATGCGAACGATGATGATAACAGAACGGAAAAGAAGGAAGATCATGTAAATGATAGTTTCAGTAAAATAATTTTAATTGTTAATATAGACGAATATATGATATCTCTGATATCATAATGTATTTTAATTTGTAGGATATGATTGGTGTTAGCGAACATCCTTTAAGCGATTTAGTAATAGCCGGAGAATCCGTCAATCCATTACCTACTGTGTTTCACACCTTGTTACAAACAATTGCAGATTTAATGCTATTACCACCACTTGGTAAATTGTTTTCGACAAATTAAAAGAAATACTTCGTAAATATATTATAACAATACTAACATACTAATTTATAGGATCTCCATTACAACAAGCTGCAATTCGATGCTGGGGTATCCGATTTACACCAGCAGATCATATGTTCCTGCATAGAAGTCACGTATTTAGTAATATTAGTAAAATTCTTTCGCGATCTGAAGAAGAAGAAGATGTAACTATGAGTATGCATGAGAGCCACCAGTCAACAGTTTCACAACAGACAAGCAGTTGGGTGGAAGCTTTAAAGGATTTAACATCCAGTATTGAAATCAAAGCTTCCAGTAGGCAAGCCATGATTGGTAGCCTAACAGACAATTCGACAGAAACATTTTGGGAATCTGGAGATGAAGATCGTAATAAAACTAAAGTAATCACTATTCTCTGTGGTGCTCATTCCTTGCCTAGGATGTTATATGTACATATCGATAATTGCCGGGATTTAACAGTAAGTTGTTTTCATGAAATTGATTTTTTTTAAATATGTGTTTTTTTCAAATATGTGTCTAATTTGAAATTTATTATTAGCATAAAGTATCAAGTGTGACTTTTCTATCTGGTGTTAACGTTGATGAGATGATAAAACTAAGATCTGTAGAAATCGAAAGTAGATCGGCCGGATGGATCAATTGTCCAATCACTGGTAATATAAAAAATTATAATTATTATTAAATGAGATGTTTTAGGACATTCAAACAAAATTATAATATTATAATTATTACTTATTACTTATTATTACTTATTATTAATGAGATGTTTTAGGACATTCAAACAAAATGTTGTCTTTTAAAAATATTCTCTCATCTTTTATACATATATACAATTCGTTCAGCATTATAATATACTTCTTTACAGATCAACGTCATATAGTTGTGGGTATGGAATTAAAGGGTCCAGATAACTCTCTAAGAGTTCGACAAATCAGAATACTTGGCGAGATCGAAGGAGGTTCTCTAAAAGTAGGAAAACAACTAAGCGCGCAAACTATCCAGCAAAGAAATTGCGAGGCAGAAACTTTGAAAGTGTTTCGATTAATTACGTCCCAGGTAAGTATGCACAGTTCTTCTCAATTTATTTTTCAATGAAATGTTTTTTGTAATATCATGTTACATATTACAGGTATTTGGAAAACTTATACAAGGAGAAAAGCAACAACAGATGGAATCAACGGAAGGTGTTAACGAGGATATAGAAGATAGCAATGATCTCCGGGAGCATATGGTTGGAATATTGTTCAGTAGAAGCAATTTAACACATTTGCAGAAACAAGTCTGCACTCATATCGTACAAGCAATTAGAAAAGAAACTGTACGCTTGAGAGAAGAATGGGAAACACTTTTATGTTCACCGACACCGGCTAACAGCGTCTTGAGTGACAATAGCGATCTGCCAAAAGCGGCTGATACTTATTGCTTCGAAATGCTTTCAATGGTTCTTGCTCTAAGTGGTAGTTCTGTAGGACAATATTACTTATCACATCAGACTGGGTTATTAAAAGATCTACTTAGTTTACTGCATACCGGATCGGCAAGGGTGCAGCGTCAAGTATGTTTTATTAACGACAAAATTGTATGAAATTTGACACAATATTTACTACAAAATATTTTATATATTTTAGGTAACATCTCTCTTAAGACGGATATTGCCCGAAATTAAACCTGAAACACTAGCGAATGTTATAAATGTTGAACGATTGCCGCCTACTGATTTTAGTATCGTATCCGCAGCGAATAGCGGTTTTATTCATGTTTCGGATTTCGACGAACATTCCGCTGGAATTCTTGATGTATTTCTAAGCTGTATTGCAAAAGCATTGACTGTACAAGTTAAAGTAAAAGAAAAGGAAAATAGTGGCAAAGCGCTTCAAACTGTTTCGTTAGCTATCAGCATTCATCCGAAAAGTTTCGTTGGAACGAGATGGTGGTTAAGAGGTTGCATGACGCGCAAGCTGGCAGAAGTAATAATTCAACTTTTGAAAGATATGGCATCAGTAAGTATCATAATTTAATTTGTTTGTTTCATAACATCTAAATTATGAGGTTTTCTTTTTAATATCAGGGTAAGTTGTCGGAGGAATGGGCGTCTGTAACAAAAGCGGCTATAGCAGAGAATATCCTAAATTTAACTAGACTGGACGAAAAGAGTCGTGATCCTACAGAATGTCTTCGATCTCCGACGCTGTGGTTAGCACTGGCATCCTTGTGCGTTTTGAATTCAGAACACGTGGAAAGATTATCGTCTGGTCAATGGAGTGGTTCTGAAGGACAGCCACTGCCACCCAGGGTAAAAATCATTACGGTAACTTCAAATATATACAATGTGAAATAACTGACCTTGCTTCTCATTTTTATAGCCAACATGTAATAATCACGATGATGATGAAACTACAGCTATTATTCAGTGTAACGTTTGTGGTAATCTGTGTGCGGAATGCGATAGAATTCTTCATCTTCATAGAAGGACAAGAATGCATATCAGACAAGTATGTAAGGAAGAAGAGGAAGCGATACGTGTGGATCTTCACGAAGGATGCGGTAGAACGAAGCTTTTCTGGATCTTGGCTTTGGCAGATAGTAGGACATTGAAGGCGCTGGTAGAATTTCGTGACGGTGCGCCGAGAAAACCGGTTGGCGCCACTACTGGTATTTGTCGATTTTGCGGTACCACGGGAAACACGGGTTTGCTAGCAATAGGCAACATTTGCGCCGATCATGATTGCCAGGAACATGCGAAAAACGCGTGTAACATGGTCCACTCTTGCGGACATATTTGTGGGGGTGTTAGGAATGAGAGAACTTGTCTACCTTGCCTTCATCGTTGTTTACCAGGGTCCGATTTAAAACAGGATGCCGATGACATGTGCATGATTTGCTTCACCGAGGCTCTGTCTTGCGCACCAGCGATTCAGCTGCAGTGTGGCCATGTATTTCACTTGCATTGCTGCCGGCACATTTTGATGAAGCGCTGGGTAGGACCACGAATCACTTTCGGCTTCTCTCTGTGCCCGATATGCAAAATACCGATGGATCATCCGACGTTATCCGAGCAACTGGCAAGTGTGAAAGAGCTTTACGAAGATGTACGGAGAAAAGCGCTAATGCGTTTGGAATATGAAGGCTTACACAAGTAATATCTTTTCATCAATACTTAATAACGTAAAATCGTGATATATAAATGTATTCAAATTTGTCCTATTTTTTGCAGGGCCGAAGGAACTTTTGCACCTGGTGGTCGTTATCAGGATCCCGCTGCTTACGCAATGGAACGATACGCGTATTATGTGTGTTACAAATGCCAGAAAGCTTATTATGGTGGTGAGGCACGTTGCGACGCACAGTTGGGCGGAGAATCGTTTGATCCCGCTGAATTAGTATGTGGCGGCTGTAGCGATGTGGCAAGGGCACAGATGTGCCCAAAACACGGGGCAGACTTTCTCGAATATAAATGTCGATATTGTTGTTCGGTGGCGGTATTCTTCTGCTTCGGAACTACACATTTCTGCAAACCTTGCCACGATGACTTCCAGCGTGTTACCACTATTCCAAAGAATGAGCTGCCAATGTGTCCTGCTGGTACATAAAATATATTTTTCTAATTAATAATCTTTAAATAATTAATAATTCTTAATCTTATCATGATTACTAAAAAGTAAGTAAAAATAATATCTAACACTAATTTTTTTAAAGGTCCCAAGGCGAAGCAACTGGAAGGAGACGAGTGTCCCTTACACGTGAAACATCCACCGACGGGAGAAGAATTTGCTCTCGGTTGCGGCATTTGCCGTAACGCGCACACGTTCTAAGCTTCCAGCTAATGCTGTTTTGTAATTTTCATGAAATTTGGAATTGACGCAGATTGCGATAGAATGTGAGAACGAATTATATCGCTTTAATTCGCAATGATAAGTTTAGGAAAGGATATATCTGTTAAGGAAAGGATAAGCCGTTTTAAACTTAGTAATTAGTTGTTAGGCGGTAAACAGAAGAGCGCATAAAGCTTATGTATTAAATCTCTTCGTGCAAATCAAGGGACAAGATTTGTATGTCATACACGATGTAACAGATCCGTATCAGAATCCGTAACAGAATTATATATCTCTTAAGTATTTTATTTCCTAAAGTAATACAATTCTCTGTACTATTTATAAAGAATCGAATATTTAATACTGATGAATAATACTCGTATGAGTATGAGTATGAGTATGAGTATTATTGTACGTAAAAGAAATTTACATTTAAGATTTATTGCATTAAATCTCATTTAAATAATAGAAATGAATGACAAAAAT